ATTATTACTATTATTTGTTATTATTTATTTGGAAGATAATAATAATAATAATAATAATAATAATAATAATAATAATAATAATAATAATAATAATAATAATAATAATAATAATAATAATAATAATAATAATATAAGGGGTATTTGAGAAGAGAGTTTGTCGGTACGTGTTTTAGAGGAAAAGAGGAAAATAAGAGCTATTGTTGAGGTAGAAGAATCCTTGTGCATAAACTCTAAGGTAATGATGAGGTTCTAATTATCTAAGGGATAACGTGATGAATGGTGGATAGATCATAACATGTAGGGTTTGTGTTCTCTTCTCTATTCATGTTCTGGATGAATGAATGATTATGTAAATTATGAAATTATGATTGAATTGCATGTTATGTGTTGAGGTTGTTGTTGTAATGGTTGTTAGAATGATACATAGATGCAATTGTTGTTGTTGAAATCATATGATTGATTATCTGTATGATGTTGTAGAAATTGTGGTCGTTTATGATCACGAATCAGAGTCAGAACAAGGTTATGAGTAATTTTGATAAAAAATATTTGGGGTTTGGGACTTTAGGAAAGAGCTTTTTCATGTTAAAATGTGTTCCAAATGATTTATAAGAAAATTTGAGCTTTGGGAGGGTTCAAAAGTGATTTTCGTGTAAAAAGTTGCAGAAAAATTGCTTCTGTAGCATGTGTAATCGATTACACCAAATGTGGTAACCGATTACCACTAAAAACGTGAAAAATTGGATTTTTGGAGGGTGTAATCGGTTACCGATTTGTGGTAATCAATTACATTGGGACAGATTTTTTCGGAAAACTTTGAAAATTCATAACTTGAGTTCCGGGTGTCCGATTGACGCACCATTTGAAGCGTTGAAAAGCTGATGTAATGTAATTTAACTTAAAATTATTTTCAGTACCAGAATTCAAATTATTTTATGTATCGGCATGTATTTGATGCATAATGAGTTTATGTTGTTTTATGAAACGTGTGCAAATGCATTGTTATTGCTTGCTATATTGTTGTGTGGTTGTTGCTGCATGTTTTGAAAGGTGTTTGGTGCATGGTGGACAGTAGTGGTGAGAGGTACATTGACTATGGTGAAGGTCTTTATGCGTGTTGTTGTGTTGTACGCATAATATGTTACATGCATTCATGGTGTGGACGGCGGTCCGTGAGCCTCAGTCCTAGGGTGATGGATTGGGTGCGAGTAGTTAATTCTATAGTTATATAATTAGTGAAGCGTTACCTATGGTGACGGTAACGAGTTTTAGGTGAGCCTCAATCCCATTGTTTGGATTGGGTGCGAGTAGCTAATTCTATGGTGATGGAATTAGTGAAGCGTTACATATGGTGATGGTAACGAGTTTTAGGTGAGCCTTAATCCCATTGTGTGGATTGGGTGCGAGTAGCTAATTCATATGGTGAGGTATTAGTGAAGCGTTACTTGGTAACTATTTTGGACAAAGGTCTATTTGGTGAGCTTCGATCCTAAGTGAGGATCAGAGCGGTGAACCTGAGAGTTCACGTTTTGGTACCACATGTATTTAGTCAATTTGTTGAGTCTCATTGCATTGCAATTGTGTGGTGTCATTGTGTTGTTGGTGTGGAATATATGTTGTGCTTGAAATAATTTTTTACTCACTTATTATTATGCATTCCTTTATATAATTGTGATATCACACCCCTTCAATTTGAATGTTGCCTCCACGCGGGTAACATGCAGATAATCCGCAGTAGGAGCTCAGATGTGAATGGAAGATGAAGTCTTCTGCTTATTCTTTTAGTTTGACGTCTGCTCTGATATGTAACACTGAAGCTATGAAACATTATGCTTTCTTATGTTTTACTTGCTTGAGATTTAGATATCTCTTAACTTTGATTATTTTATTTAGATGAAAACCATGCTTATGCTTGGAATAATTATCATGTTGATGTTTCTGTTGTTTTAATAAAATTTGAAGTGTTGATAATCTTTTAGTATGGTTATTATTGTTAACATGATGAACCAACTATGAATGAGGAACCAACTATCAATGATGGAACAACTATTAATAAGGGACTAACTATTAATGAGGAACTAACAAACGCTTCAAGTTTGGGCAAGTACAGTGAATAGGATGTTGAGACTTTAGCAACATTTCTAAGTTATGAAGATGTTTTGAACATTCAACCTTTAAGTATTGACACATCACCTATCAAGCCAAGTGCATCAAAGTCAAACAGTGTCACTATTTTCTTTGGTAAAAAATCAAAAGTTTGTAAAAACAACGCTTTCAAACCACCAAGAATTTCTTCACAAAAGCCAAGTTGCACTGATCCTGTGAGTATATATACATTTTATGGGCATATTCCTTGTTTATTGATCTTTATGATGCCTATTTATTCTTATTCCAGATCAAGAGACTAATACCAAGGAAAAAAAGTGAAGAATAATATTGATGTGACAGGTGCAAATAGAAAGAGTGACGGGCGGAGGACCCTGAAAATAAGAAACATGTCTACCCATGGTAAAACTATGATGATTCATTGGTAATCACTGAAAAGGAACCCACAAAAGATGTCAATGGTGGTGGGAGAGTATCAAAAAGCTGAGAACACATTTGGAAGAGGCTCACTCAATGAACATGTTTATGTTTTGTATTTGTACTGTCACCATGTTGTGAACGCATTAAGATCTATTTGAAGATGTTTGTGTTTTATTTCTGTCCTGTCACCATGTTGTGAAGATATTTATGCTGATATTTATGTTTGTGTTTTAAAGACATATGTATTGTAATGTAATTACCACCATGTTGTGGAGACATATGTACTGTAATGTAATGACCACCATGTTTTGAAGATGTTTTAAAGACATGTTTATGATGATATTTGAATGGTGTAGTATGATCATCATGTTCTGAAAATATTTGTGTTTTAACAAATGTGTTTGATCATACTATGTACAAATATGTTAAAATGATGTCAAATTATAGACCATACTCTGTCCTAATTATAAGTCGTACTAAGTCCAACATATAGGCCACCTTATGTCCAAAATATAGACTACACCATGTCAAAATAACATAAACAATTGAATTGAACAAAATTACGTAACTGAATAACATTTCATAAACAATTGAACACCATTTTATTATCAATTCAATAATATTACATAAACTATGAACAACATTTCATAATCAATTCAACAACATTGCATAAACTATTGAAAAACATTTCATAATCAATTCACAACATTACATAATTGAATAAAATTACACAATTGAAAAACATTACATAAGCTATTGAACAACATTTCATAATCAATTCAACAACATTACATAACTGAACAATACATTTCAATATATCCTTCAACATTTACACTTAAATAAAAAGTACATGTTGAACATAAAAAAATACAAGACAATCCGACTTCAAGTTTCCATATAATACCTCTAACTTCATTTTTATCTGCAATTTCTGGTTCTTCTTTATTGAAGATTCATACAACTCTTTTAATATTTCAACTGCTTGCATCTCTTTCATCTTGCTCTCATCTTTGCTCCAATATTCATCTACACTTTCATAAACATCATTTCCTTGTGTTATATCTTCGTCCCATATGAATAAATTGACAGTTTCCTCAGTTTACCAAAATGGACACCTCTAGAAAAGCCTCGCTTTATTATGTCCTTTCTTACACTGGTATGATATCATACGGGCAATACACCCACACCTTCTCCTTGGACGGTTGCTCACACTTGTGGAATGATAAGAAACTGATTTGTTTTGTCTTAATAAAGATGAAGTTTGATGAGGATTTTTGAATGATTTGCAGTGAAGAAGACGACTGGAACGACTTGTAGTGAAAAAAGATGAATGGAATGACAACTAAAAGTGAAGAAGAAGAATAAGAAGAATGAGACGATGAATTGAAATGAAGAGGAATAAAAGTTGAATGTTTTGTACAATTAGGGTTCTGAAATTCACATTTAAATAACAAAAATAATTAAATAAAAAAATCCAACGTGTCACAAAAAAAACTCATTTGGACCTCCACCTATGCAACCGTTAAGTCAATTTACCGGAAGGGGCGAAACTTATGGACGGAAAAGTTTATGAAAACCATTGTTTGAAGAAAATTTTAGAAGGACTATAATTGAATATTGACATATTTAACCTTAATTTTAAACTACTAATTTTAAGTCATTTAATTTCTCAGACTACTTCCAATTCTTTGTGAGTTATATCTAGAATAGAACCAAAACTCTCTCAATATTTTGGTGATTCTGTATAGATTAATTGTAGTATAACCATGAAAAAATAAACATAGACCCTATTTAATCAAAATTTAATTTAACAAATATTTTATGAGATTCTATTTAATTTTAGTTTAATTCTGACAAATTTGAAATCTTGTGCGATAGTTTATCTTACACGCCCTCAAAACCGATCTTAAGTAGAACATAACTTTTGTGTGATGCATTCATGAAAAGAATTTCATGAAGACATTCAAAGATAAACACTACAAAATATTGTATGAATTTGTGCATGAAGTACTGTACCACAACAATTCAACACTAAGATGGAGACATTAAAAGCGATGAACAAAAGAGGGCATTGGATTGACTCAGTGAATTTAAAGTAGCTATTATTTACGATTCTAAGGCCCTCATTACATCATGAGATCGTTGGTTATCCTAAATCAAAAACATTTTCAAGAGTGCGTGTATGTTGTATTTGTACAGGTTGTGCTACTGCTTCACAATACATTTGCTAATTTCGATTCAAATATCATTTTACCAAGTAGGAGAAACAAGGAAGGTACAAATTAAAACTCAAGAGTGTTTATATATTGTTAATTATTTCACGAGGTTTTAGCAATCAATTTTCATTTTAATAATAGTGTTGTATAGAAAATATCAAAATGCAGCTTTATTGAGCACATGCATGAACACAAGACCTATGCCTTTCATTGAGGTGCACCTGAGCATAACCTCAAGAAACATAACCATATCAGCACTCAAACATGTCTCATGGATTGAGTCATCATGGACACAAACTCATTCATGTCAACCATGCCATCTCCATCAGTGTCCACTGCTCTCACCATTCGCTTGCAGTCATCAAGGCTGCACCTTTCTTCCAGCTTCCACAGCATTTCTTTAACTTCTTCGGCACTTATTTTCCCATCACCGTTCTTATCAAATATTTGAAATGCACTCTGTATATCAAGCGACCTAACCCCACCACCCTTCTTTTGAGCCTCCATGAATTCTTCAAAATTGATGAATCCATCTCTATCCAAATCAACCACCCGGAAAATCTTCGGCACATCATTAACGGACTTCCCCATGTCTAGAGATTTCAGGGTAGCTTTGTACTCCTGTTGAGATATTTTCCCATCTTTATTGGAATCAAATTTGTCAAACACCATCTTCATCTCCTCAACGCTTGGCTGAAAAATGTTTTTCAGCCCAGAGTTCTGCCTGTCCCTTGAAAACATACGCGCCGGCTTCCTCAGGTACTTTCTCTTTGAGATGTTGTATTGGAAATCAAGGAAACTTGTCTTTGACATTTTAAACCTGAACCTGATCAGTTTTAAATTGACATGAAAAAAAGAACACCATGTTTTATTTATATTAAAATGAGAGATGGAAAAGGTGGTGTTATCTCACACCACATGCATATCTCTTATGCTATCAGTTATTCCTTATCATTTTCTGGATGACCACGAAATCGAGATGCTAAAAAGAAATGCAGGATATGAAAAGAATAAAGTGTCAAAAGAAAAGAAGAATTAATGGCTAAGAATACATTCTTTCCTTAAATCTCAGTATACTTTCTATTTTGCTTCTTGAGGATTTTTCTTTTCCAGTCATTTCTTTGGGGACGGAAGGAGGGGTGTTACAATCTTTAAAGTCTCTAATAGTAAAATTGTTGATTTACATGAATATTTTGGGTAACAATCATGGAAGAATAAAACTCATTAAGATGAATACATTATGGATTCCCGAGATGGAGAAAGGGAACAAAAGAAAAATAAAAAACTGGGGGAGGGGATTAGTGGAACATCAACCGTCAAGACGGTTTTCCATTATCTAAATCCTCCATTAAATCGATATCTTTGCGAGCTGTTATCTTCTGCACGTATCCTGAAAAACAAACACCATACAAGTTATTCCAAGTTGACTACCTTAAAAACAACTGCCAGTAAAAGTGAAAACGAAGAAACAATGCCATTATAGAAAGTGGACACAGAGTTAGGCAAGACCCACTAACAGAAAAAAAAAACTTTACATCTAAGGACAAGACAAGCATAATTGGGAATAACCCACTGATTTGAACTTTTAATAGTTTTTTAATACATATTTTGGCTTTTCCAAAAAGAAATTCAGCCGATTTAAGATAAACTCATAGTCCTAGGTGATAAGAACAAAGAGAATGGAACATAAATGAAAAGATGTATATAGATAATTTTTGGGATCTATTACATCACAGGTTTTCGAGAGCCTGTCTCTCCACAATTCAGATTCTTCCTAATTTCCCCAATGCTTTCCTAATCTGTTTTGCTTCTATTTATACTACATCTAACATGCGTTCCTAATTGACACAATTAATCAAAATGATTATGACTATCCTCATTTGTAACTGCTCCTCCTAATTGACACAATTAATCAAAATGATTATGACTGTCCTCATTTGTAACTGCTGGGTCTTAAGATCTTACGATCTTACGTGTTGAAGTTGCCTTTTATATGACTAACATGATATGGAAATACATAATATCTTAGATGATTAGACTTGTTTGTTAGATTTATGTTTTTGAGCTACTTTTTTTAAAAAAGTCTTTTGAACTTGTTAAATTATGGAATTATAGTTATGAGTTATTAATTTAATTGGTTGCCTTTAGGGATTTATAGGTTATTTTGTCCATGTATTATAATTTTCATGTTTTTATGTATGTATATGTATGTCAAATTACCATTTTTCCCTTCGGTAAGATCTTTCACAGGCCGTCCGATCCTACTTAAGATCCTGTGCTTGACTACTTTAGTTGTGCGCCTTGCTGGTGGTGGTCCAAAGTTGTTGCTTCCCTTGCTCGCTGCCTACGGGTGTAAACCCTAGTGATGGGTGGCTTACGCTTATCATCACTAGGTGACCGCAGAGCAACAGAATTCTTGCTTTGTAAATTGTAACACTTAATGTATACATCATCTAATCTATGTAGCTTATCACTATCCCCCTCCTAAGTTAGTGTTAAATGTTATCGTTTGAGTCATAGAATCTCTATATAAAGCCCCTAAGAATCTATTGGTATACCTACCACAAGGAATTTGTGGTAGAATCAAAACAAGAACTACAAGCCAACAACTACTAATACAATGTACACATGAAATTCCTATCTGAAAATAAACTTTAATTCCAAACAAGGCCTGCATATTGTCAACCACTCTAACATGACACGTTTTAGCTGAACCAAACAAGAATAGGTAACATCCAAAATGACATCTTACTTACTTTCATAGAAAAAGAGCATTTGGAACAATTGGATCGTAAGAAAAAATAAGTGAAGCTACAACTTCTATACAGCAGAAGACAGTACAGAAGCATTAACTTGGAAAATTTTACCAAATATTCTAATATGAAAACCCTGCTAATGCATTAAAAGATGCAAGGGCGAGGTTAACAATTTATGATAAAGTTAGGATTCAAACAAAAGAATACAGGCAAGAGGATACTAGAAAGATGCAGGTAATCTTTTCGCATATCCCAAGATTTTTTTGGTGTGATGATGGATGTAACAAAAACCATGAAACTGTTTCTATGGAAGTCCTATAAAATTAGGTGTCATGATTCATAATTTCATATGACTATGGGTTGAGAATCTATTAATTCAAAAAAATTGGACAACAACACAAAAGTCATGCAACACAAAGTTCATTAATCAGTAGTTTTGCAGAGTACTTAATAGAGAAGTTGAGAAAAATATCTAAGGAATTCAAGTGGAACTACTCTGTATCCGAATAGCTAACTTTATAATATAATCTGAAACCTGAAACTTATAATGGAAATATCAGAGTACTTAGTGAGGTAAAGTGGCATAGCATTGCAGCCATGACATCATCTCAGTCACAACTAGCCCAACACATCCTATAGCAAGCTGTTAATTTTGAACATTTTTCTGTTGATTATTAATTGCAGCGCCTCTTTGGTGGAGCCATGACATCATCTAAGTCACAACCAACCCAAAACAGCACCTCAGTCTTAGCCTAAGCATCTTGTTGTTATTGATCTTTTGTTTATAACTTAGATCGATGCTGACAGTGTGCCAAGACATTTACCTTGATTATTGATGATGATAGGCCTTTAATTTTGGGTAACTTTTGATGTTTGAACATTTATATGTATAGAGTATGCATTACACGTTTTCTTGCTTTTATATTTGATATAGCGGTAGATTGTCCCGCTACAACATTTTGGGGTCTGGGTTCTTTCTTAGCACTTCCACTTGGGATTGAATTGAAGTGTCTTGCATGGCTAAAAAATCAGAAACAGTGAAAGCTTCCCTCCATACTAGATAATCTAATTTTGCAAGTTCATTGGAATATGTTTCCGATACTGACACGTACCAAAGATAAATTTATATCGTGTAAAAAATATTTCAATATTTTTGTATTGTCTTTTCATGCTTTAGTATCAAGCTACTACTATCTTCTACGATGAAATGGTTAAGAGGACATAAACTGATTTTTCAGAAAAGTCAAGCCACACAGAACAATTACTAGTGCATATAGAAAGAAACTAAGTTCATACGTTGTGACTGAATAATTTATCACGAAAATATTTTGCCAAAGTAGATCATAAATCATGAGAAAGTTTAGAGAGACAATGTTAGAATAGATATAAAGCAATTCTTATCCAAGAAAATTGAGTCTTGATCTCTCCCTCCAAGAATTCGAGAGTTTGGTCTCTCCCTCCAAGAATTCGAAAGCTTGGCCTCTCCCACCCAAAACCACTCAATAACTATCCATCCCCTGTTTCTTCTAGCCTTTCCCTGATTATTCCTAAATAATATAACTGCCATAATAACTTCTCATAACTGCCTACAGCTGCCATTAGGAAAAGTCTAACAGTCAGCTAGTCAAAATAACTTGAGAGGAAAAAAACTGCTTATTAGAATTTAAGAAAAGAGTAAAGCTGCTAAAAACTTAACAGACATCGATTATCGACAAGGAGATTAAGGGTTTTTACTTTGATAGTTTTGTAGCTAATCCAATGCACGACAAATGATTAATAGTTCAGATGTGGTTAACTTCTTCTCTGGTGACTTAGTCACAGAAAAGCAGTCAGGCCTGCAGAAGGGGGATCATCAGGTATGCCTAAATCTAAAGGTAACACACATAAAAACCTAAATAGTTTTGATGCATTTGAAGTCAAAGCCCCTAAATAGCTAAGTAGCACTAACTTTGCTAAAATCCCTCCCCACACACCCCCACAAGGCTCCAATCATTTAGGGAGAGTTAAGTGTATATATATATATAAGAAAAAAACAAAAGAGTAAAGGAAAAGAAAATCTCTAAATAACATAATCCACTCATGTTTGCATTTGTGAACATCTTCCAAGTGTGAGCATATACATGTTGTAAAACCTTTAAAGACATTCAATATTGTTCATCTAAAAAAAACTTGAAATCCATAAACTAGCACTCTCAAATCCCTCTTGCTTCATTCCATATATAATGAATCAAAATGTGCACAAGTTTTATCCCAACGAATACCAACACAAGGAGTAGGAAAGAAAATACCAAAAAAAAATGCATATTACCAATTCCCATACAAGGAATGCATTTGCAAGTAACCTCTTTCCCTCTTTTGTTATAGTAGCTTACATATCCAGATCCTTGGCAGCTCCGACACTTCCCAGTCCATTCATAAACCACTTCTTTACAATCCTACAACTCATCAAAAACAACTTAATGAATTACTTATAATATAAGTTCTTAGTGCTTAAGAAAAACTTCTCAAATAAGCTATAAACAGTTTTCATATTTAAGTAAATAAGTTCTAATTAGCAAGCCAAACAGGGTGTAGATAGATGAGACAGGAAACAAATACCTCCAATTCAGGGTCACATTTCAGACGCTCATCAATTTCTTCCGGCGAAACAGGAGACGAATCAGGATAACCCATTGGAAGTGGAAGGGGCTCACCATTATCAACCATGTAGCCTTCTCTATTCCGCGACCATTTCCTCTCCTTCGCTTTCACCCTCATCCCCTCATTCCCGCCGGCGCGTCTAGCAGCGGCGCCGCCGCCCTCGACGACTGGTGCTACCCCGTCGTGAGGTTGACCGATTTTGAGGCCACCGGCGACGGCGGAAGTGGCGGGAAGTGAGATGGACTGGAAGATGCGAGGGAAGGAGGTGGGACCATGGGAGAGGTCTCCGGCGCAAGCACGGCAAGAGAAGACGAGGGAGGTTGCATTAGTAGATAACATTCGTGAGAGGAAATAGCGAAGCGAATTTAATATTTAATTTTTGCATATATGGATTGAGATATTTGGCGGAGATGACAAAACAGAGTTGTGAGTTGTTGCTATTATCTCTGGAAAACGGATTTTATGCTACGATAACTACTACTACTAATTCTTGTTCTTTCTATTGGCTGGATTTGCGAGTCTCTGCTATCATTTTATGGAAGTGTGATGAACGAGGGACAAAACTAGGACGTGGGTGATTTAAAACAAACAAAAGGATTTTAGGACTATTTTTTTTTTCTTCTTTCTCAAAATAAATATGAATATTTAAAATATAAAAAATGAATAGATAGCACTAAAGTTTAATAGCATGGTAATCAAAACCCGATGAAGTAGGTCGAGGGATCAAATTGAGAATTGGAATTCTAATTAGAGGTGTTGCCCCAGTAAAAAATCACAAATCAAATCAAAATTGTAAACCAAATTAAATTAAATTGTAATTGCAAAAAATCTCATTTGTTTCAGATTTGTTTGGATCATTTAAAAAAAAAAGTAGTTTTAGTTTGCATTTTAAAAACTGAATTAAACCGCATTACGTTTTAACCCAAACAACGCTTATTTCATATTCATCAAAAATTCAATCTTAATATGTCTTAGTCTTACAATTACGAATAATTTTCTCTTACTCACATTTAGGGTTTCAATTTTAGCCTTCTCAAATATCTCATAGTAGTCTCAGGCATTCTTCACATCTTATTTTTCGAGTATATTTCGCCTCTTCTACTCTAATCCATCTCTTTTATTTTCTTTCTTTTTTATCTTCTCATTTTTATGCTACGGTTATCTCTTCCAATTACGTTTTTATTGCACGTTTCTTCTCTAATTTCACATCTCTTCTGTTATTTCTTTTTCTTCTACTCTACTCTCTCATCTCCTCTCTTTATTTTTTATTTCATTAAAATATTTTTAATATTATGTTATGCTACTATTTTATGTTTTTTATTTCACTTTTGTCTAATATGATTTTTATATATTGAATGGAAAATTATTATCCAAATAAGATAATTTTTATTGTTATTTGGTAATGTATGAATGACTAAACACAAAGTTACATTGTTCTCTATATGTATATGTATGACGGAATAAAAATACAGTAAAAAATTGAATCAATCCAAATCGCATTAATTTGATTTGGTTTTATTTCTAAAAAGAAATCGAACCAAACCGAACTACACACTTTTTTCTTTTGTGGTTCGGATGACTGATGTCAAAACTGTCAAAACTGCATTGCGAACACTCCTAATTCTAACCGATCAGTTTCAATTCAACGCCATCCAAAAGAATTATTACTTAAACTAAAAAAAAAATCGGTAAGAAAATAAAAAATTGAAAGTTTGGACCACTTCTAAGATCAAATCAAATTTAACTTTTAATTTATAAAACTATGATAAAGAATTTCGTTTTGAAACAGATTGCTGCTTGATTTAATTACACAATAACAATGAAAAACCAAATAAAAAAACAACAAAATAAAAACTATTTTTTCTATTATTTTATAAATGAAAATAAGTTTTATATAGTAATAAAGAATAAATTATTATTTTTTTATATTTATTATTATTATTTATAATTATTAAAATTTTGGACCTACTTAATTTATTGACCGACTACTTTTAGTTTAGTTTTGAAATTTTACTTGCCTTCTTGGATAAAAATTAAAATTAATTTATTTTTTAATACAAAAGAGGAAGTTCATAACATTTTGTATTTTTTTATATTTGTTGATAATTTTTAAATACTTGTTAATAATTAAATATAAAAGTTTTAAAATACAGAAGGCTAAAAAAAAGTTAAATAAACTATTTGTTGTAATAATTGTAAATGATGGTTTAAAACTAGCTAGTTTGTTAATTAGTTGGTTAACTTTTATGCCTCAAGTAAGTTACTTGACTCACAAGCATTTATAAAAATCAATTCCTCTTATGCCTCATGTAATGCAATATATTACAAGCTTGCGTGAAGTTTGAAAAAGAAATATTTTAACCAAAATTCTCTCTCATTTATTTTTTTTATTTCGTGCACTGCAAAAAAACAATTTGTTACGCAACTAACTGGCATCTAAAGTCTAGTTCCAACACTAAAATGAATTGAGGTTGATCCATAAGAGAAACACAAGTAAAGTGTGAGAAAAACATAAAGGAAATACAAAGTGAAAAAGATTTGCAGATTTTTGTTGAAGCAGGAGAAAGATGAATATTAATGGGGTGTCTCGTCTAATATTCTGGTTCTTGATAGAAGCAATTGAGAGAGATGTAGTGTCTTGATGAAGTTATTGTTTATATACTTGAAATTGTATAAGAATTCTATGAATAATTGGGGGTAGATCTCACTGATGCGCAAAGAACCGCCTTCAAAGAATCAAGAAAAAGATATTGTAAGCACTATTCTACATTCCGCAAATTTGGGATTCTCACTGAAATTCTGACACACAGATACCAGATATCAAGACAGATGTCAGGACACTGGGATCAAGACAGCAAACAACACTTATGCAGAAAATTAAAAGTTTGAATGTAAACAATAACATAGTTAATTGTTAACCCAGTTCAGTGCAATATCACCTACATCTGGGGTCACCCAAGCCAGGAAGGAAATCTACTATAATAGTATTAGTTCAAAGCCACAACAAACACCCACAGGTTTACAAGTTTCTCACCTAATCACTATCCATGCTAACTTCTACTTAGGAACTCCTAGATATGAGACCCCTCTCACTTCCCACCAGTCACACAACAATGACAAACTCAACAATAAAGAAGAAAGGAAGTCACACTTCCAAAGACACAAAAATCCACTTTTTCCTTAAAAGCTTATGAGCGATTACAACTCAAAAATCAGTCCAATTCAAATACCTAAGAGGTATATGAATGACTCACAAATGCACAAACAAAATAGTCAAACTCAAATGTCAAAAGACATAAGAGAGGATCACTAAGAATAAATAACACAAAACTCTCTAAACCCTAAAACATTATTTCTTTCAATACACAGTTTCTCCACTTTATTAGGTTTAGAACTCCTCTTTAAATAGCCTTCAGATCAGCATGGATTTGGGCTCTTGAATTAAATAAAACGCAAATCATAAAATAACAGCTTCAAATCTTCTGCAAGATCTTCTAAACAAAAATAGGAACTGAATAGAAAGTTTCCTAAAAAGGCTCTAAGATCCTTTTTATGAAACACAAGCAAATCTGTCAAGACAGAAGTTCCTAAAGTATCCCTCCTTGGATTGTGACATTGTGTGAATTAAAACACTATAAAATCTCACACTTTAAATACCAAATCATCTCAGCTTTAAACTACTGGTATAACATGTCCTGCCACATGTCCCAACATCATGTTGAACATGATGTCTGATTGACATGTCAAGACATCTGTCACAACATCAAGATCTGTGAATTAAATGAAGTCTTGTGGTGAATGGGTTACTGATAGGTAGGTGGTTGAAAAGTGATGATATCTTTAACATCAAGATTTGATTTTATTGTAGTAGCCATCCAAGAATCCAAGGATCTCAAGAAACTGAAAAATGGAGGAATTGTAGAGTTCATTAGAAGCTTATGAATTGATGGTGATTGATAGATTCATTGAAAGAGAATCTCAAGAAGAATTACAGGAACAAGTGCTGCAAAATAATGGATTTGAAAAGAATCTTAAGGAAAAAAAAGCAAAAGAGGTTTCAAATGTACAAAGTAGTACACTGCTGAAAAGAAAAGAAATAAAGTAAAGGTTGAATCCTATAGAAGAAGAGGAGGTTATGGAAAGAATCAAATAAATAAGAAAAACTTTGATAAAAGTAAGATACAATGCTATGATTGTGAGAAGTATGACCATATTGCAAATGAATGTTGGTACAAGAAATAATGAGGAAAGAAAAATAAAAAAGCAAATGAGGAGGCCAACATAACACATGATGGTGATGTTCATGGCCATTACTTGTGAAGGGAATATATAGTGTGAACAATGGTATCTAGACTCAAGATGCTCAAACCATGTGAGAGGACATAAAGAATGGCTAACCAATTTTGAATCAAGCAAGAAGACTAGTGTCAAACTTTCTAATGGCAGTTACCTTGCAGTAAAAGGAATCGGTAATATAGTCATCAAAAGGAAGGATGAAAGGAATTCCTTTATTTAAAAGGTACTCTTTGTACCAAGAATGAAGTGAAAATTTCTAAGCATAAGATAATTGGTGGAAAAAAGGCTTCTCAAACATTATGATTGATGATGCACTCCAAATGTTTGATAAAAGAAAGAAACTGAATCTTAAGTATCAATTTTCCAAGAGTGGAACCTTCAAGTGCAACACTCAAACTAGAAGAGAATTGTGACTATCAAGCATTGATGAACCAAAATGGATGTGACACACAAGGTATATACATCTAAATTGAAGGTGAGAAAAACATAAGAAGGAGGTTTGAATTATGTTGAATTTTTCTTTCTTTTAAAACTCTTTGGTCAAATTCTAAACACAAGGTATAAAATCCGATTCTAAGAGAGGTAGACAGCGAATATGAAATGCAAGAAAGAAGAGTGACACACAGAGTTATCTTAGTTAATTTCAAAATTTGAGAGTAATTCAGTCCCCTTATACTTATAATATATTTTCAGTCTAATCACACAAGATTAAAATTTGCTCAAGCCCACAAGCAAGAGACTTCTGTGAGTGCATATTTTTATTTAGATATGTTTTATATGATGTCAAAACTAGGAGAAACTTTAGCTTTTTTGTACATTGACGGTATTAACTGATTCTAGGTGTGCATTTAAGCATTAGGAAGCATATTAACATGTTTAAAAATGTTTTTGAAAGGATTCATGCATTTAAAAATGGTCTCGGGAGGATTCATGCATCAAAAATTTAGTTTTTGTGTGAAAAACATTGTATATGTCAACACATACGACTTTAGGTTGACCTATAGAAGTTTTTTCTTCAGCTCAGGTCGACACATAAAGTACAT